CGGTTTGAAGTATCCGGTTTGAAATATTTAAATAAAATAAATCTGAAAATAATTTTGTTTGGAACATCAAAATATTTATATAGAACGCTAAAACTGGTTGTTAAAATGTTAAAACTTTTTACAGTATTATTTTCAACACTTAACTGTTCTACCTATAATTATCTTGAAAATCCAACAAAATTATTTTCAGATCTGCATCTAGCTCATTTTTTTATATATTTCAAAACGATTCTTTCTGTGAAGATATTTTAATAACTTGTTAGTTGATATAATCGCATGAGAAGAAAATTAAAACATTGTAGTAACCAGTATAAAGAAAGAAAGAAATAGATAGAGATTGTAGTAAAATCATTTTATACAAGTATACTTCAATATTTGTTAAATGCTATTTTTATACTATTAATTTGTACGAATAAATTTATATTCAAGTAACATATAAATCAAATCATTACATTAGTTATTAACAGATCGTTAATTTTACAAATAAGGGAGTAAGGCAGATTAGCATTGCGATGATTGTCTGCTGAATATGATAAAGCACGCCCTCCCAGTTATCGCATACAGAGCAAGATAAACGTAGGGTCCTGCAGGATTCTGGTTAGGTACTCGATTTATCTTTAATCGATGCGTCGACAAGACATGACCTCTGCAAAAATTGCAATTTGCTAATATATATCTATAAGAGATCATCATTATTAAATTCTCGAATTGAAAAATGACAATTATCTAATAGAGATACCAAAATATTAATTATATAACTTGTCGTTAAAAGTGCAAAAGAAAAAGCGTATATTTTTTCAATTAATTCTTGACTTGTTCATTGTTTTTTTACAAAAGCACTGTATTATATTGCTAGCAATACAATATTCTATGACTGTATAACGATCTTTATAAATGCTCATCGATAATTCTGGCATTTAATCCTGTAACTTTCATACATACGCTGTTTCATTGTTTACGAGTCTAGCAACGGCGTGTTTACGGTGTGTTTTACTGTTTCAAAACAACCAATAAAATGGCACTTCCCATTCGCTTCGTCGTATCGATGGCCAAACGTCGCGTAGCCTACAATGCTGCAACCAGAATTGAAGTTTCGCGCAATCGTTGCAGCTGCGCGCAGTTATCATCGGTGTCTAAGATAGACGTTGCGATAAAAAGTCAGCTGGGGCTAAGATGCTCAAAATATTGACGTTAACTGCTGATTCGTTTGACTGTGAATCCAGAGGAAAAAAAACGCTGCGTCCAATGCTGTGAAATGGCGATCGTAAATAGCGGGTTCGCGCCCTGACATAAAACTCTGAACGAGCCGGGTAAGCTTAAGGCAGACAGTCGTTTTTAGAAAAAAAAAAAAAAAAAAAAACAGCAGAATGCATGACTTTATACACGTATATCAGCTGCGATAATTACCGATATAAAATTCAAGAAAAGAGATTTTGACACAAACTTCTTTTCTCTTTTTTTTTTTTATGCGACGCTCTACCGTCCGCTATGCGACACGTCCGGGTAGATTGCGATATTCTAATTAAATAGGTGAAGCTCCTCGTATTTCAAGATGATTCATCGCCGCTAGACGAGTCATTTTCATCCCGTGTCATTAACACATTACGGTGCGCGACTTGTTGGCTTGAGGTTACACCGGTTGTTGCACCGCAGTAACAATTTTTCGGCTTCGTTCTGCTACATTACGCGACTCGCGCTCCGAAACCTGAACGGTGCGCAATTTATCGTTCCACCGATATTTTTCATCCAAAAAAGAGAACGTCGCGTGGCGCCCGCGAGTCCGGTGATCTCGGCGACCTCTCGTCGCCTTTCCACGAATAATTTCGTAACAGTTATTGTTAGTTCAAGGTTTGTAAACAATGCGAAAGAGAAGAAAGAGTAGAATTTTATTTTCTTTTTCTTTGTCTTAATGTTCGATATTTAGATGAAAGTTTGATTGACAACAACACAGAATTTAATATTTAGATTGATGATTGATGGAGTAGTGAGACTTTCTGATTAAAATTTAATTTGTCTGCAATAAAAGCTGTAAACTACAAGAAATCGACCACTCACAGTTAAATGTGAAGATCAAGAATTGACTATGATTGATCAATTTCTTATACAGAAAGGATGCTTTTGCTAAAGTATCTAAAAATGTCAGATACAGATCTGAAAATAAAATTTTGTTAAATCATCAAGATAATTATAATTGCTAGAATGTCAAAATTTTCAGCATTCTTTTAATGATACAATCAAATTATTTTCAGATTTGCATCTGAAAAACTAAATTTTTAGATACTTAAGCGAAATTGTTCTTTCTGTGGCTTACGACTTATTCTCTCCAAACTAATCCTTTAGCTTGATGAATATTATGTTTTTTTTTAAGTAACAAGAGATAATAAATACAGTAGTCAAATTCGGCCAGAAATTTTCAAAAAATTCAAAGATAATGTAACATCTAAACCGAACACCATACAACACCATATTAAAGCTCTATTGAGTGAATAAGTATTTGTAGAAGTGCAACCTATGAAAAGAATTAAATATTCTACCTTTAATGATAGATCATAAAGAACAAGCCGTAAATGACAGCGGGACCGATTCTGCGAGAACGTTTATACTTACTGTAAATGTCTCGGCTGCCCGTAATACGAGATTAATTTCTGTTTTTCCCGGTGCGCGCCTTACGTAGCATGAGGGGGTGCTGCGAAAGATGCCTTGGAATCTACGTAATTAAGCGAGGGTCTCGCGAATAAATTTACATCGTCTGTAAATCCTTCACATTAGATAAATGCTTACAATTAGCTCCGTTCCTGCTGTGCCTTGCGCGCATTTCGAATTCACGAAGACTGTGCCGTTTTTAGTAATTAAATAATATAATTGCAACTGTTATAATTGCACGCGAATAGTTATCCACTTATTTTATGCGATTTATTCATATCTTTTAATTACATTAATAATTAAATATGCACGGTAATAATAAATTTGTGACAATCAATAAACTTTGTGTAAATTAGAACATTAATTGTTCTTCTAAAATAACTCTGTATAAGTTTTTGTGCAATGTTAGAACAAAATAACTTTCATTGAGAAACACAAAGAAATTATAAAATTAACAGAAAACGTTTGTTGCTTATTGTTGTTATTATTATCAGACGAAAAACTTTATTTCTGTATGTCGTTTATATTCAAATTATTTGAAAATAAAAAGGATTAAACATATTAGATTTTAACATCTGTAGACTTTGTACTTTTACATGCAAATTTGTAATATTGTTACATAAGATTTTTTTATACTGATTGTGAGTTACTAGGGAAAACCGTAAGAGAGAGATTTCACAAAGATATCAATGATGGCAGTTTAACGACATTATAACCCTAGATAAGAGGAAAGATAAGAGGAATGCACATTTCTGGACAAAATGCATAAAGGATCATCCTTAAAGTCGGAAAAGCTCAGGTTAATTCAGCGGCCTGGCGAAAGTCATAAAATAATGCGTGACTGTCGGTTTTTTTAATGGGGGAAAAAGGAGAAACCATATACGTGCGTAACTGCAAGTGAATGTATTGCAGAGCTTTCTGCATGTATACGGTATATTTGTACAGTATATTTGTATCCTCCAGGATATATCAAAGAGAGAATTACATATCTTAGTCGTATTATCTTTCTTTGATTTATTTAAATTTAAATAAAATATAATAAATCATGATTTTTTTCTCTAGAAATATATCATTTTATTAAATATTTTAATAAATTGAATTCATATTTGAAACATATCAAAATTGAAACATTTTTATCAAAAGAGCAAGATTTTGTTATCATCTGTAATTTATAATTTTAATTTAACAAAATATCTTTTAATCTCGATCAAACTTAAAAATTATTTATGTTCCTATATTAAAATTATCGCCATATTGTTAAGTCCTAAATGATATGCCTTAAAGGGATTTTAAGATGCTATATATATACATAAAAACTAGTAGCTTATCTTGAATTCGGAGAGTAGGATTTTGCTGTATGTAACGAGGCACGTATGTCTTCTACACACATCATCACAGATATCATTATGAAAATGACGAAAGGTAACTGAAAAAGCGTACAAAACATTCTAGTTTTTCAATGCGAAATGAAGGAGAGGTTTACCAAATACGAAAAGCTTACCGATAGGATGTTAATATACTTTTTGAGTGTATATAAGCGAATTTATGGGAATCCAAATAAAAAATTTTAAATTATATAATGCTGGATATTGATAAAAAAAATAAGATAACAGCAACGGACGAATTTTGCGTTGCTTATTATTAGATATGGAAAAAAGTTCGTGGCGTTTTTCCCGTCAGATGTAACGGGAAAAATGCCACGAACTTTTTCCCCACACCTAATATATAACATCTCAATTATCACTAATACTGTTGTGTATTCTTTTTGTAATTATGAACATTTCTTTCTTATATAAATACGTGTAAAGTAAGTTGGAAATGGCGACTCAGGCACTTGAATCTGCAGAGCGGGCATAACAGCCGGAGGCTGTATGAAACGGTTATGTGGTTGTCGAGTACGCTAAAGCACAAGGTCAAAGTTTCAGCAATTTAGGATGCGATGCGGGTAAGGAAGTAGCAACTTTAATCACTTTCGAATCGGGGTAAATCTACTCGCGTATTTCGACGGACCCGCAGGATCATATCGTGTGTAGTAACTGCTTTACGAGAGGATTCCAATATAAGGGTATCAAGGATGCATAGAGGAAACAATCAAAGCTGGTTAAATTAACAAATCAAGATATATTCTTTCTTATACATATAAAACAATTTACAGTTGTACTTAATTACTTGAATTTATTCATAATTATCTAAATGTCTAAAACACACGGAGATATTTTTTATATCTTCATAGATATAAGAGAGATAAATAAATAGTTATAAATGATTGATTGTATATCATGCTTAGAATCTATGATCCAATTGTAAACGTGCAAACGATACATCTTGAAAGAATTATTAGCAATTTTCTTCTGCCTATGTGAGATTTCGGTAACAGAAAATATCGAATAGGTCATATTTCTTACTTCTATCGCGCGCTCGCATGATTATTCATCTCCTTGAATTCTGCATAATATTACTTTCACGTTCTCAAAATGTAACACTTTCTCTTTCCCTTGTCACTGTCGAAAACGTGAAAGTAAATGGCAATATATTTATGTACTTCGATCTCTTTTTGCGGTTTTAGGAGGAATTTTAATCGAAGGCACGATTCACACGGACCTTCCGCAGTATGCGAATCCATAAATATCAAGTGAAACGCGGGATAAATGGGTATGGCGTGACTTGAGTTAGCCACGTGCCGTATATCCGAGATCTCGAAAACGGCAGATGTATCGCATCGGAGTGCAAATCAGACATGTCGCCTGTAAAAGATTCTTTCGAGTGCTTTGCTTAAAAGAATTTCTTCGCTGGTACCGGATAAGAATATCCCTCGCTGCCGGAATCCACATGAAATCCCGAACTTATGGGAGAGCCGAAGTTATTACCACCACGTACGACGCCATGTACGACGCCAGAAATGGCAAATCCAGAATTATCTCCATTTTGCAATATTGTGCCGATTCCTGCCGCATCGACAGATCCAACCCCAATGGGAGCGATTGGTCGTATTGAGGACCCAGATTGAAGACCGGTTGATGCGATAGGTTGAGTAACAGAGATTGGTCTAGCGGGCAGCGGATATGGATCAGAGTTAATCGGTATGGATTGTGAAATTGAGGCTGGTGTGTGAATTGCCGGAACCGGGTGCGGAACTGGAATCGGATGCGGCACCGGGTGTGCTACAGGTACGGCATGAGATACTGGTACTGGAACCGGACGGGGTACATTAATGGGATAGGTTTTAGTGACGACGAATGGAACCGGTTGAGGTATCGGGACGGGAACAGGACGCTTCACTTCGAGGGGTACAGGATGCGGCACTGATACGGGAACTGAGCGTGTTATGGGAACTAATTGAGGTACGATAACTGCAATTGGAACTACGCGATTTATGACGGTTCTGGGTATATGATGTAAGAAACCGTGTTCCACACCGATGCCGAAACTTGGTTTGTGACCATGCGGTCCTCCTATAAAATCGATTTCAGATCCAATCCCTCTGTATCCGTATCCATATCCATGTCCATGCCCATATCCTTGTCCATGCCCATATGCCGATCCATGGAATCCAACGTCATTGTAAGGGTTGTAGTTGCCATGACTATATATCGATGATCCTCCGTGTACAGAAGCACGTTTGTCATATTTTTTCTCCGACACATCAACGGCGAAAGCCGAGACAAACAACAATGAAATCTGTAAGCAATAATTTGACATCTATTATCAAGAGAAAAATTATATTTTTTAACACGAAATTTTTATGTTATTATGGATATCTATAAGTTAATTATTTCAATTTTCTTAACATAAATGGTGTATATTGTAATCTGTAAAAAGTAAAGATTATTCAGTTATATAATTACATAAATAAAATAGATTTGCAAACGACAAATGATTAATAAAAAATGTAATATATAAATAAGATAAAATATATGATACTTATAATAATATATAAGATATTATATATAATAGCACAGAAAAATTATACTTTGTTTTTAATATTTTAAAAATAGTTTAACAATTATGTTATAAAACAAGAAAAAACATTTACATCTGCTAATGATAAAAAATTGAAGAACTACACCTTTTTAGAGTATTTATGATAAAACTTTATTTTCTTACGATACATTCGCGCTATTGAGATATTAGTAGAAAAGAAATTTGCCGAATAATTTTACTACTCACTAGGAATATCTTCATGGTGAATGCTATGAGAAGATGAGTTTGAGTGTGCTTTATATCATCGATTCCTCGCTTTTTATACGACGATGTAACTACTTTCACTAAATGTCCACCGCAACACGCCTTCTGATCTGAACCCATCACATTCTTAAAATCTTCCAAAACTTCCTCAATTGATCATGTAAGAAAACTGTTTACGAGATTCACTAAGTAAATTGGCGAAAAGAATATTCATGAATTATCTTGTTAACATAAGTTATTCTAGTATTATATTTATAAGATTTATTTAATTGACAGATTTCTTTGGGGTTTTCAATATATTTCTGAAACTTTTATATAAAATGTGATTTATATTTCTATAATATTATAGAAATCAAGAACACACAACCCTTAAAATTACATTAAAAACAGCAAATATAAGTACAATAATAATACACGAATAAATTCTACACAATTAGTTAATTGAAAAAAATCATTTAATACAATATATTCTTCTTGGGATTCTAATACAATATGTTCATCTTCAGCTTACAATTGATTCAATTTAAGACCTAATATCCTGTCAAAGTCAAACCCAGAGATGAAGAAGCCTTGTTAGAGGAATTAAAAAATAAGTATAGCTGCAATCTGAAATAATGTTAGTGAACATATATTTTATTGAAAAAAAGAAATATTAATATAACAGAAACGCTTCTATTATATAAGTTTAAAATAAAAATAAATTAAAAATAAAAATTAAATTAAATTTTTGTAAATACGCTAAAATTAAAATAATTCTCTTGTCTGTACGTTAACATGATGCAGGTGAAAAGATTCATTGTTTCCATTGCAGATTGTTATATAAAGTTTTTTTTAAATTGAACCGCACTTGTAAAGTCGTTATTATTACCAACGATATTTTTTTCTGGTATCTGGAAATGTCATTTCCATGTTACACGATTGTTTTCAATGTCCAACATATGTATAACAGTCCATGCCCATGCATATATCTGTAGAACACAAATGTACTTCACGACCATGCCCCAGATTATACAATCTTATCGATTACTACGCTTCCAGTAGAGAAGAAAAATAAAAGTAAATTGTTAGAAATTGTATTTAGAATTGTTTCGAATAATTAGTAAAATATACACATGTCTTCAGATAAATGTTAGAATATTAATAGACAGATTTTTATATTTAAACTACATATTAGTTTTAATTGGTTAAACGCACAATACGATATCATTAAAAAATTGTTATTTAAAATGTAAAATTTTTTATACATCTATAAAATATCATAAAGTAACGTTTTTAATCGCTTATTATTTTATAAAAATAAATAATAAAGAAGGCTCAAAGTTCTTAGCGACAATGCATATATGAACTTATCGATGACAGATACAGGAGTCGTGTTACCTAACACTACAGACACCTGCGTTAATATCTTTCTACTTGCTTTATTTGTCGCGGTCAACCGTTAATTGTCCTTTTAGTTACAGTTCAGATTGTTGAAGTAGAGCGCTAGTGGGGCAATAAATTGGTAACCATACGGCGACAATTAGCAACGTCTCGTTGAGCGCGTTGCGAGGACTGCGTGCCATTTCACAGTCGTAATCCTAATTTCCTCTTACTTGAGAATTAATTGGACTCAGACACGACGATTCAATATTCTTGCGAAGGATGCATCATTCGAGCTTAAATAGATATAACTGTAATATTGAGGGACAATGTTCCTCACGTAATCTATTTTTGTAATACAAATAGTGAAAATAAATTTAATAGCAAATAAGTTCACTAAAACGTCTATTTAAATATTTGATTCTAAAAACATATTAAAGAAAAATCTTAATGATTATAAGCTTATAATTTCAAATAGATAATGCTATTTTAATGTTAATTATATTAATAGCTTCAAATAAAATTAATTATACATGACAGAAAATAAGTACATATTTTAAATATCAGTAACAAAAATTGCTTTAAATGTATGATTTGACGTAAATAAATAAGAAAATTGAACTGCATTTTTAAAAACAGAATTTTGCCGAATATTGCATTGATTACATATTTCAAGAAATATCAATAGTAATATCGTTACTACAAGTGTTAATTATACTTGGAGAAACAGCATAGACATAGTCAGAGAGTTTTCCCTTAAAGCTACGCAATTCAAACGGGGTATCACATTGGAATGAATAAAGCGCGTATTTAGCTGCTGGCCAGGCACCCTCTCATAATTAGCAGTTTCCAAAGGATTTCCACTGAGAGTCCGCTAGCAGGCGCCGCCAAGATTTATCCGCGTCATCCTTTTTATTCGGGCATTCACGAACGAGGTGCCGAAAAAAAGAACAGATAGTAAATGGAGACATATTCCTGTAGGAGCGCGCGAAGCACGGTCGATGCAGAGCGGGAGCTAATGTCAGAGATTAGAGGTAATCCGTTCTCGGCTGGCAATCGTCGAGGAGGATCCTCGTTCGCAACCGGAGTGCAGCTTCGATCTAGATACTGCAGTCGTACTGTCGCAGCGTCGGAGGTTCTCCTTCCTCCTCGGATCCAGGTTCGGATCCTGACCGCCCTTTTTCACCGGCAGATACATTAGAAGGAATTACGGGGAGAACGCGTTCCGAGTGACGTGAGCATTAAGACCGCGCAAGACACGGCTCCGTAATTACACTAATTACGGAGTCGTTAGGATTCTTTATAAATACTGCGTCTTTGTTGCCTTCTCTTTTTCTTACGACCGCTCTCACGAGTGCGAGCTTCGGAAATGACCGCGAAAGGAATGCGTGTCGACAGTTTTATGGAAAATTTTGCGGTTGTGCGGTCTTTGTTTCTTTCATAAACAAGTTCCCTTTTGCATTTGCTATTATTATCTGGAAGTTAATATATGCACTGGCGATGGTATAATGTGGAAAAAATCTTGTCCTTTTTTCTGCGCATTTCTGATTTATTTTTATAGAGTATTTAGACAATTCTTCCTCTGCTAAGATTGTCCAAAGCATAATTATTAAACATTTAAAATTAAAAGATTCTCTTATACAAATTAGAGATATAAACACATAATAAAGTTGTATTTATTTCATTTGCAATTTACTATAAATCGAAAATAAATTTATATAAAATAATTTATATAATTATGTATGATCTATTTATTA